AATATGGTTTTAATTTAGTAAATTTTTATGAATTGAAGTTTACTTTATTAATCATTAGCAAACAGTTTAGGTAATAATATTGATTTCATCACCATTAAGGTAAGAATTATTTTCTTCTCTGTTCACACCCTTAAACAGTTTGTTATATTTTATTTTTTTATTGGTATTTTTCACCAAAGCAGTTTTTTATGATTATCATATTTTTATAAAAAGTGTTTTATAACTATTATAAGTTTCTAGGAATGAGCATTAAAACATTTCAAACGTCAAAAACCGGAGTATTGAACCTTTATAAGGGTCAATGTAATGTCCACTTCCTGACGTGAATCTGGTGTTATTCTAAATAATTTTCAATTTTATTTTAACGCTGATATATTTTTATTTTCTTTCTTTAAGCAATTATGCATGCACTTCTTTTGTAATACTTCTGCTTTATAGTTGTACTTTATGTCTAATGAAGTGAGTAATTTTGTTATATTTTGTTAATTTCCTATCTCAATAAGCTTACCACAACGATGACAATTGTTAATAATTGTTTTGATTTTTTTCATATGTTTTTGTATATTTATCTTATAATTTCGTATAGGTTTATTTAGATGTTTCCTATTTTTATCTGAGGCTGAATGTGTTCAGGTTGCATGAAAGTAAACAGACTTATTGTGTTTGTTGCTGTTTGAGTATGTAAACTAAATTTGAAACGAATATTTCCGATATTAGGGTGCAAATTTTTATTAAAAAAAATTCACTAAAATGGTCAACTCCACTAAACGGTATGAACTGTTATTGAACCTGTACTAAGTTTAACAAAACTGGAGTTATGTAAAAACAGTAATTTCTAATATAATCAATCACTTCTTTTCTCTTAGCCATTTTTTCCTAAATTTGTTCCACCAGTGACTATACTCACTTGTTCTATTTGCAAACTTTATATATAAAGAGAACATAATAAGATCGGAACTGAACAAGACTGAGAATCAAAATATTTACAAACACACAGATTCATACAAGTAGACACATATAACTTTAACCTTTAGAACAGTACAAACACAAAACACAATAACTTGCAGAACACGGAAAAAACACTTAGTTTAAATCTAACATAACTAACTCTCACTTAACTCAAAGGTATTCACTAAATAGTACTCTCCTTTTAAACATAACCTCTCAATACTGGATATCTATCCAAATATTATAATTTATCTAGCACTCACTCGCACCTACAACATATTTCTTCTTTCTCATAAGACTATTAAGGACTGATGGTTCAATATAAGTGTTGGAACTTTAATAACTTCCATAACGAAACAAAAGCAAAAAAAAAAACACAACTTAATGGTGTGACCAGAGAACCAAGTTATTCTTAATTGAAAATTATTTAGAATAACACCAGATTCACGTCAGGAAGTGGACATTACATTGACCCTTATAAAGGTTCAATACTCCGGTTTTTGACGTTTGAAATGTTTTAATGCTCATTCCTAGAAACTTATAATAGTTATAAAACACTTTTTATAAAAATATGATAATCATAAAAAACTGCTTTGGTGAAAAATACCAATAAAAAAATAAAATATAACAAACTGTTTAAGGGTGTGAACAGAGAAGAAAATAATTCTTACCTTAATGGTGATGAAATCAATATTATTACCTAAACTGTTTGCTAATGATTAATAAAGTAAACTTCAATTCATAAAAATTTACTAAATTAAAACCATATTTCAATAGTAGTCAAATTAAACATAAAAAATGAAGTAGAGCAGAATCTTGTGGTCGAACTAAAAAAAAAGGAAAAAAATTAATTTAATAAAGAAACATTTTTCAATTTGCACAAAACAAATAAATTTTTAAATAAAAGTATAAAAAAATCAATACTAGTTTTTGTAGAACATAAGAAATAACAAACATAGAACTTAAAAACATATATACATAACTAAAAATTGATATGCGTAAGTTTGGAAAAAAATTAAAAATCAATATAACACTACAATATCTTTTAATCAGGCTAAAATAACAATGATATGTTGGACTAATAACTATACTAATTAAAGTAAAAATAAAACTTTTAATCTATGTTCCTATAGTAAAAAAAAAAAAGTCATACAACTTAAATATCAAAAGCTCTAGAAATTCCCAGTTACAGTAAAATATGATAATAATTTACATCATTCAATACTAGTTTCATACATTTTGTATTGCACGTTTTACTTAGAGGGATGTGATGATTCAAACAATATACTTGTAAAACATTTTTACATAATTTTATAACTTAATGATATATAGTTGCACAATTTCTAATACTATCACTTCATGTCATTATCACACCATCTTACATCAAACGATCTACTTAGGGAAGGTAATAATTTAGAAACCTAAAAATGTAATTGTAAAGTAGTTTCAATTAAATATATAACTAAAAATTCACTATATATTCACTATTTATTACATCATTCAATACGACTACCACACCATCTTTTATTAAATGATTAACTAGGAGGAAGAA